GTACTTGAATTAGGAGAATGACTGTATTTTTTTTCATAGGAAATTCCTTTGGAGGTTCTTTTTTGGCATTTTATAAGTTTTGTTGACACTCCTAATGGATTTAAGTGCGGATTTAAACTGAATTAGAAGTATTACTGTTTATTGCACGAGAAAGGAGCTTGTCTGAGTTTCTTCATATTCCTTGTAATTTATATCCGAAACCACGGATTTTCGCATATCTCCCTCAACTGAAAGCCTGTTTAGCTCGGCAACCTTTGCATTCCATCCGTTTATACGACCATCAACATCTACAGCAAATATGGGAGCATTCGCAGTCTCAATTAACCTCACCATTTCCCTGGCAACCGAGCTGAGCTCATCAATTCCTTGCAAGTCCAGATCCCCAAGTTGGGAATGCACAACAGCTTAGAATTGCTTGCTTCAGCATCTCTAAAGGAGTCTCGGAGAATAAGCTGCAAGGAGTGAATGGCATCCATTTCAGCATTCTCCCATGGCAGACTACGGCTCTTAACAACTTCCAGAAAAGCCTTAAATGAGGAACGAGGATGCATCCTTTGTCCATCATCTTTTTCTTCAGGGTGATGCTTTGCACCTCCCCACTTGACCTCTTTTGCAGTATGAGATCGGAACCAGAATAGAAAATCTCGTTTGGTGATATAAGCAACAGCCATCCCACAAACAGCATCACCAAGGGAGGCTGCTCCAGGATATCCAGCATCGGCCAGACTATCTGTACTTAGACCTGTGGAGTCCCCATGGTATGCCTTCAACCACTCCATGATATCCTTTATCTGTGTCTCAGTTGGGGTCACACCAACAGGATAGTACTTCCCTTGGTAATAGAGAGCTGCCCCATCACATTTAACTAGATCCACTATGCTGGGACTTTGAGTAACAAGGGCAGTAGGAGAGTCACGAAGAAGCATATCACACAGGAGAGTCTGGGTCCTCAAAACCCGTTTCTCTGACATCTGTGATGCCAACTGCAACTCCATGTTCAATTGCAGTCCAAAAGCCTGCATTAAGAACTCACAAGCATACCGGAGGGGAAAGGGAATGCAGCGAGAAGAAGTGTGATGGCAAACAACCAGACCCCAAAGCCTTGTTGGATTCCTCCCTCCAGTAGTTTCCTCATCGCTTCCATTAATGATAACTGCCATGGCCAAAGAGGCAATTGAACCCATGTTTGCCATGTACTGAGCATGGCAACCATGAGGAGCCCGAAGAGTTGAACCCACCAGGCAGAGAGGCTGCATAAGCCCTTCATCCTGAATAACGCGCACAGGCGTGGCGTGGCAATCCACTATCATCCTAACCCTATTCTGCTTGAACAAGAATCTTGAGGCCTGAGGGATATCCGTGGCCGGATAATGCAACCCAATATAAGGCTCCAAGTCAGGCCTCTTGCTCTCAGCTACAACCTCACCATGCTCATCTTCATGAAACTTATACACCATGACTCTATCGTACCCAGTAAGCTCCTTCACACACTCTACAACAGTGTCACATAAGAGTTTAATATCCCCGCCAGGAAGCGACTGCAACTGGGAAATTGCACGCACGGCTAACTTCTGTGACTGCACAGCCCCTGCAATAGACAGGGCAGGGTCCTCTGTCCTCGCAGGCTCCAAGTCAATCACAATACCCACATCGATCCTGTGCAAAATAGCGTAGAAGGGTTTCCCAGAATTTTTCGAGTGAATCCAAACCGGATTCAACAACGTGATTTCCCGCGCCCCAAACGCCCTCTCCAGCAAAACGGCACTGGAGGGCGTAAAAAGGGTCCGCACATCGGTCCCAATTGTCAAAATCTCAGGATTATCGAGACTAGGCACTGATTGGGGGGTCAAGCCGAGCATTTCCCGGGCGTTTTCGCTGCATGCAATGATGCGAAAAGAAGCTTCATCGACTGCTATCATGCAACCAAAAGGCTGTATGTGGCCGCCACGTTGAATTTTCGACAAATAAGCGGTAATTTGCTGCTCAGGGACGGATTGCGTGGTGGTTTTTAGCGACTGAGAGTAGTCAAAAGACTTACCTGACTCACCGGATTGCTCGAAAACTGCGTGGAGCCGCGCATCCACTGTATACTGAGCAATGGCTTTGCTAATGGAGTCTGTGTTCGTCTGCGGTCTAAGATTGCTGGTGCCGGAGGACTGAGGTTGGTTGCTATGGTGGCGATGGCGATGTGGATCCTGTGTATGTGCTGCTCTGCTATCTGAAGTCATTGGTGCGTCTGGTTCTGCAGCTACCACTCTTCTTCCTTCCCAATTTTCTCACTTCAGTTTCTCAGATAAGCAAATCAGAATGGAAATTCGGGGATTTTGAAATGAGATTTTTTTTTTTTTTTTGAAAAGTCCAAGAATTCGGAGAGCTTGTGGATCAAATTCGGAAAGAAGGCAGCGTAATTATGAAACAAAAGTTAAAGGAGTGAGTGTTGTTGGCTTGCTGCCTGCAATATATGCTTGCGGCCTGTGGATGCGCTGTACTTGTACGTCCATGTTAAATTCTGTATATATATACATATATATAATTATTTTCTAAGAATAATTTATTTATTTCTTTTATTGGACATGGTCCGTTCTCATTCGACAAATCAATCCTGACTGCGTTTTCTTGTTTTTTTCTCTCTCTGCGATTATTTTATTATGAAGTGTTGGCTGATTACCCAACGGTTAACGGTAACTTTAAGAAAAATCTTAACTTAGTTGAAATTTGGAATCGAGCTGAATTTGTATAAAACATTGCAGTGAACTTTTATTTTTTTTGAAATTAAGTTAACGATATTTTTTAAAGTTAACTTAAATGCTGCAAAAAATAAATAAATAAATCAAGTAAATTTTCAAACTTTACTATAATTCTCATTAAATATAAAATTTTTTAAATGAAATTCAACTAGATAGACTAAAACTAACAAAATGTTATAAGTAAATTTTATATCTTTTAGATTCAAATCTAAAAGTATGTTAAATGTTATACAATATATACTTGAATATTTTTATAATGTTATATTTTTACTTGTATTAAACTCCGATGTCTAAATTTTAAGACACCCAAATGTCAAATGTGTATCTTTCAATAACTACTAACATTTTTAGATTTTTTTTTTAACATTATTTTAGATAAAAAACCTTGTAAGAATAATTTATATTGATCATATTGTTTCTCATTTGGGCATTTCCTTATTTTCACTTCTTTTTTTGGTAGGTGCGGATCTTTTTTTTTTACTTTTCTGTTTTCTTTTGAGTGTGTTGTACAACATTTTTTGTCCATTGCTTTGTATCAAGAGGCCAATCGTAGATAGTAAGATAAGAGAACGATTTAAGATGGGCCAGGCGCACACCTTTTTATTTTTAACACTTGCATCGCAACTGATGCAGGCTCTGATTTTGACCCCCACATCCCAGAATGCTTGTATACTTTCTTTCATTTATCTCTTTCTTATTTTTTGTATAAAAATTTATGTTGCTATTAATAACAAGATGGTAATCTTTATTGACTTAAAATTTTAAAATTATTGGATCATAATTTATTATTTTACATGGTAATTAAAGCTAAAAGTTAAAATCTCGGCAGCCTCGTGCGCCATGCAGTTATAAATGTAGGGGGTAAATGATTTATACCGGACCTGCACTTTCGGGTTAACAGGTTTCCGCGCAAAGAAGTCTGATAGTTTTATAGCCTATAATACTATAGATTAGACTAAGCTTAAAATCTCTCGCCAAATGACCTTAAAATTCACCAGTAAATCCAATCATTTCCTCTTCACTTTGAAAAGTGAGAAACTAATCTAAGTTTTACTTGTGAATTTTAATCTCCTCCAGGTTTGACATTTTCCGAAATTGGAAAATCCTGGAATCGAAAAGGCAAAAATCCTAAGCAAAAGATCTGTTGCGTAGGATAATGTAAAATGATTCTTCACATTATTAGCTAAAGATGAATATATAGAGCACAAAAATGTTATACAAATAGCACTATTACTAGTAACATTTCATTACAAGAAAAAACAACAAAATCGCGATATTTTGGTAACCAAAAGACAGATCAGGTCCACATTGGACCTTATTTGAGTACACTGGAAGCCTACAAGGAGATGAAGAGATTCCCTTGCATAGTAAATTGTTCTTTTTTCATTGGATGAGGAAGTTAAAGGATATCTTATGGATTCATCACTGCCTTTTATAAATGATTACAAATGAAGATACTCAACATGCCATTAGAGAAGCAATCAAGACTATTCCTAGGGAATTGATTGATAATTTCAGCAAATTGGAGATTCAGCAATATCAAAGTTAAAAGGGGAAAAAAGTTTCCTCAAGAGCAAGTAGGTGCTTGCACCTGTAATAGGTGATTTCTCTCACTTGGTATACAGTACGTCTTCCCATGGATGGCGATATAGGGGTTGTTTCAATCTCTTCTGATCAAAGGTGTGTCTGCAATTTTTGAATAAGAAATGATCAGTGAGAGAAGCAATGGTTTATATAAAGAATAATTTGGTGGTGGGGAAGACTATGTCATCCTATGCCACTCTCCCTTGTGAAAACACTATCAAACAGAGCTATCAGACTTATTTACCTAAGATTAGATACCCCGAACACATGAAACCGTACCATTTTCTCATCCATTGGTCATATCTCAACCATGGACCACAACATCATCTATTAAGTATAAGAACCAATAGGGTTTGGCTTTATTAAGATTGAGATAGAAATGATGCTAGGGGATCAGTATTCTGACCATTATGTTGTTTTGCCGTAAAAAGTTAAAAATAAAAGATGACTTGAACATCCTAGACAATCAAATTTCAACTCACCCAATCAAACCAATGGAGCGTGCCAGCACGAATAGCCCGTTCAGATAGCCAATCTCAACAATCTCATCAATCTCTGGCTTGCTGAACATTCCACTACCAGCAAGGAGATCCAAGAAAAGGGACCCAATTGCACCATCAACATTAAGGACCAGGTTATTGGCCTTTGAGAGAGTGTAAGTTTCAACTTGAACAGCATATTCCATATACTTCACTGATGGGAAATGTGTCCGTGCAAATAATTGGAGCAACTCTACTCTCTTATCTCTGTTGTCTCCCCGTTTGATCCTTTTTTAACAATAAGGAGAAGTTCAAATTTCAGACTTCTTATTAGGAACATCTAAAATCGCAAAAGCCTGCGTGCAAAAATGTAATCACTATACCTGTGTCCAATTCCTGGCACACGGATGCCCTTCTTTTTCATGCCCTCAACAAATTCATATGGTGTAAGACCCTAAGAATATACAAGACCATAATTAAATTTCATCATCTAGAACCATTGTAAACCAATTCCTTATCTCAGTTCTAATGCCCATCGAGTCTTACCCTGTCATATGCATCCTTGAAGTATCGTGCAGCATCATCAATAGCACCACCAAATCGAGGACCAATCGTAAGCAAACCTATTTCAGCTCGTAATTGAGTATTACCTCTATTTGGCAATTCAAGTGGAGAAGTTATATTAGAAATGAAGAAAGAAAATCAGCATTTACCTGAAACAAGGCTGGAAACAAGGTCCTTGCCAGCCCTAGCAGTTACAATAGTGTTGTGAGCACCAGAAACACAGGGGCCATGGTCCGCACATAACATGATACATATCTGGCAAATGACAAATGAATTGGCAAAAAGGCTTGAGCATCGTACATTGCGTTCTAATAATACCAAATTAAAGAATCAAAGAGGAAGATGGGCCACTAGAGAATTTCACAAGAGGAACTCGACCTCAATAAATTTGGTGCAATATCGAGGAAGGCTACGTTTAAACCACAAAAGTGAGATTACATCACCCACACCATAACCCTGTTCAACAATAGAAGACATTGGCACACCCGCATAGCATGGCTCCTCACCTACAACACATTGTAGCAAAAAAATTAGTGCACCGGATATCTTTGTCATCAAGCTAATAGAAGCTCAAAATATATTAGCAGAAATGTGCACAAGAAAATACCCCTGTCATCAGAGATGGTAGAAATAATATGAGTGGGTGCCCGAACTTTGCCACTTTTAATTGCAGAGTTAAGATCCTCAGGGATTTGTGGAGGCTTCACTTCCTTGACAGGAGCAATCTTCCCCTCTTCAACCTTAGAGAAAATTATCCAATTAAAGATGTAAATGACACTGATGATGGAGATAAAGTCTGTTTCATTTTTTTAAAAAGTTAGCCGAAGAATGAAGAAGCTAACCAACTTCTCAAATGTTTCCTTGATTGCAGCTTCAAAAGCTTCATATGAAGTGGGAACAACAGCTCCAGCATCCCGTAGGGCTTGATTCTTGGCTTGTGCAGATTCCATTTCACCACCACTTTTGGCCCCCTTAATTAACCAGATAACAGTTATTATACATATTGGCTATGTAGCTCCTAAATTAGGTAAAAGGAAGAAAGTTTAAGACAGCCAATGCTATTACTTACAGCATGACCAAACTGTACTTCTGACTTGAAGAGTCGAGCACAAGTTCCACTAACCCAAGCAACCACTGGTTTGGTCACTTTTCCCTGTTTCAGGGCCTCAACAAGAGAATATTCATCTCGCCCACCAAGTTCGCCAAGTACAACCATCATTTTTACCTGAGATTTTTTATAAACAAATTGAAGAAAGGCAAGGTATAACAGCCAAGAAAGAAAATGTTAGAGAACTAAATTAGAATTTGTTTCAAATATCCATCCTACTAACTTTACAAACTGCTATGCATTTGCCTCAAATAGTTGCATTAAATTTTAATCCTAGAAAATATTGACTTCCCAGCTATTGGGAACATAGGAGGGGGCAAAAATTTATAACTCCCCAAGACATCAGTTACGTGCAGAAATGTTGATACAGGCCATCTAAACTTTGCAACTATAAGAAACCCAGACTTGGAATACAAAAATCTTTTGAGTGACTTAAAGGGATAAATATCAATTGAAAATAAGATGTGAACTGAGTTAGGCATCCAGATGCTCAACAGTTTACCTACAGATTATTATGTCTTTCTTGGTTCCTATTTGATATCTTTGACTGTCAAGAAAAGGACAACAGTTTCCAGGCCAAATTTTGAGGCTGAATATGGATGTTGCAGCAGTGATCTCTTATTTATGTTGAATATGAGGAGAACTAAACTGTTATTTCTTAGATGCACCAGTTGAAAATTGTGACAATACAAATAATCCTATATGGCGTTTAATCCTATCCAACATGCTTGTTCCAAACATATTGAGCTTGATCTTCACTTTTATTGAGAAAGGATTCACATACGAGTTCTTATTTTACATTATATATCTAGTCGAGATCAACTGGTAAACATTTTCAGTATGGTACTAAGAGCCAACAGTTTCTCTCATCTAAGGTCCAATCTCTGTGTGTTATCCTGCATAATTTGTAGGGCATAAAGGAACAAATATCCATAGATATTTTATTGGATAGCAACTCCAGGTGTACATTAATACACATATGACAACTATTGATAAGGTATACCATACTGATAAAAAGATATAGATAGAAAAAAATGACACACTTGGGGAATATTGCTAAACCGCAAAACATGATCTGACAGAGTAGAGCCAGGGAACACATCGCCTCCAATTGCAATACCTGGAAAAAGTTAAAATTCACCCAAATTTTATCTCGTCATGAATCTACAAGAATAGGAGACATTGAAACAATCTAGGCAGCATTAATAAATAAGGTACCTTCATAAATACCATCTGTTACACGGGCAATAGTGTTGTACATTTCGTTAGACATACCACCCTGTAATTTTAACCCAAAAAAAAAAAATCAGTGACCCTTGTTCCTGCAAAATGTTGTATGTAATGCTATAATCATGTCAATAGGGTAAGACCCCACATCAAATAAACTCTTCAACTCTTGGTGACAAAATAATGGAATAGTGCTACGGGAACTTCCAGGTACAAGTGTGCATGCATTTCTCAGTGGAAAGGGAAATAAGAGAGATAAAACATGATTTAGAAGCTCAGCCAGGAAACATACTGTTGGCTTTAGCTTTTTTGGGGAAAAAAACTTCCTGTTAAATTATCAGTTAATCTGGAGATATCAAAAGTCGACTGATGTTACTACCCATTATCTTCTAACTAAATTTAATGTGATCTCCCCATCTTCTAGTCTGTCTTCAACCTAATCCATTTCAATGAAAGTCAGAAGCAAAATCACTTAGCCTATTTGCCATATGGCTGAGCAATTTTGAATCAAGCAGAGATCATTGACAAAAGCAAGCCATGACCATTGACATACCACATTTTTCAATAACTAACTCGAAAAGTAATGCTTTAAATATAATGTTGAGAACTACAGTTGAAAAGAAATTCATTAACTGATTGATAGGAAATTCTTGTATGAAGGTTAAAGGCTAGCCTGAAAGGTCAGAGTAAATCTTTGAAGAATAAAAGAGTAACTCATGAGTGAATACATACAGATTTTGAGACAAAACCAACAGATCCAGGCCTGTAAAGCTTGCATTGGGTGATGTTGTCAATTGTTCCAGCAGTGTCACCAATCTTAAAAGCTCCTGCTTGAATACCTCCAACAGTAGCAGGGCCAATGACAACCTGCATAATGTTTGGTATCAAAGCTGCATTAATTTCATAACTAAGAAAATAAGAACTCAAGTGAAATGGTGAGGTTAATTGCTTGTCATTTCCTTTAACAGATTCAGTTTAGTTTACGCAAAGTAACTTTTTATCATCATTCTCACCTTATTGTTTGCACGGGCATAAGCAATCAATTGCTTGGTGTCAGATTCTGGAACACCTTCAGCTATTATTGCGACAACCCTAATGGTTGGCTGTTTCAGAGCAGCCATTGATGAGGCAGCCGCACTGCAAATGCAATAATATTCCATGATCACGGAAGTTTCAAACTGAGAAGTCCATCCTCCAGAATTTTACCACAATAATGATAGAAACTAACCTTCTAAATGATGCAAAGTTAATGAAGACATCAGCAGTTGGATGTGCAGCACAAGCTGTCTCAATACTGTAAAAGTAGGTCGATACAGAAGTTAGAGAAATTCTAGCCCCACAAAGCATGGAATTATTATCCTATTTTCAGTTCATAAGGTGCATCACTATAGAGTTATGTTACATGCAGCTCAAATTGTTAGCCTGAACTTTTCCTCTCCAGCAATGACAACATTTTAGAATGATGCTTACAGTGCGTTACTTCTGTCCAATACACAAAGACCAGTATATATGTGTCGTACAAATTTATCATCTAAGAACAAGTATAGCTACAATTTTAATGTTACTAATAAAAGATAAATAGTTTATAAAAGTAGTGAAGAGGCAACATAATTGCGTGCCAACGTGTGATCTGTGCTGGCATCATAATTACCCTTTGTGAAATTCATATTTAAGGCATGGGAAGATTTACAAGATGAAAAATATAAAGGGGATGTAAGAAATATAGCTTACGCCGAATGTACAGGGATTGCAATTTCCTCTTGACCAAAAAAGAGTTTCTGAAATCCCTCAGAACCAGGATTAATTATTCCAGCAACAGAAGGTGTTTCCCTCCCTGTATAAGGGAAGAAAAACATCCTTAGATTAATTCCAAACACCAGTGTAGTAAAGCCACAACTGAAATGCCATTGGAAAATGCAGCAAGAATATCTCTGATAACAACGACTTAGTGCCACTCACCGCAAAGAAAATCAAAATCAAGCATCCGTTGGACGGGGAGTTGCTTGTAGTTGTAGAACAAGGCTTGAGTGGAGCGTGAGAAGAGTTGTCCCGTTGCCATGTTGAGACTCCACACAACCTGTGAAGACCAGATCCTTGAATGGTTAGATCAAACCGTATAAGCGTATCAATCATCACACAGTAGAATCTAGCATCATTTATAGCAAACAACGGTGCCGATTACTGTTCCATTTCAACAAAATTAAATTAAAAACAACAGATCTGCGGCATTACCAGACTCTAGTTACCAGAAAGCAGAAGTGAATTGAAGAAACAAATAATTTAATAAATAATTTGTAACAGCTACCAAACAAACATGACTTAAGAATCACGATATCAGACGCGCACCTAACGTGAAGCTAAAGCCGACCAAATCCAGCTATACCGACCAACGTGGACGAAGAAGATACGATTAAGTAACATATCAGATCTCATGCTTAATATATATAAAAAGAAAGCACTACATTATTAAATTATTTTCCAATGTTTGATAAACGATCAAACGGTCATACGATCTCTCCTAGAAACATCGAAAGCTAGTTCGCGTGCGCACGTGCAAAAATTTCCAGAAACAAACAAAAGTGAAATTAAGAGGGAAAACGG